ATATATATAGTTGTTATATAGTGGAGTACTCTATGTTTTCTGCTAGGAAGTACGTTGAGCAAGGTTTAGAGTTTAATAATAGGTAAATTACGAATGACTTGATCTCTATATTTAGAGTATATAGGCAGTCTAACAAGGAGGTGAAAAGATCCCAGGAAGCAGTTGAGAAAGCCAAAGAGGATCTCGCCAGAAACATCGAGCACCTCAAGCTATGGACTCACGCCTACCTACAGACCAAGAAAGACCTAGAACTAGCCGTTGATCTTGGCAAGGAGCACCACTGGAACACTTCTTTCAGCGTCAACTGCAGTAACCTTCAACGCAAGGTTATGAAGGAACTTGCAGATGAGTCCGAGGTCGATCTGAAATTCAAAAGAATGACTGACATCGTGGAGATGAGCAATAAGGCATCCACTGTGCAGCAACAGGGAAAGAAGGGAAGAGCGAAAAGGGGAAAGGGCAAATAGACAGAGGAACAATTGTCAAGCCCCGAACCCGACATATATCTATCATGCCCTGCCTTCAAGAAATAGACAAAACACCACTCGAAGTCCAATTGCGTGGTGTTTTGTCTATTTCTTGAAGGCAGGGCATGATAGATATATGTCGGGTTCGGGGCTTGACAATTGTTCCTCTGTCTATTTGCCCTTTCCCCTTTTCGCTCTTCCCTTCTTTCCCTGTTGCTGCACAGTGGATGCCTTATTGCTCATCTCCACGATGTCAGTCATTCTTTTGAATTTCAGATCGACCTCGGACTCATCTGCAAGTTCCTTCATAACTTTGCGTTGAAGGTTACTGCAGCTGACGCTGAAAGAAGTGTTCCAGTGGTGCTCCTTGCCAAGATCGACGGCTAGTTCTAGGTCTTTCTTGGTCTGTAGGTAGGTGTGAGTCCATAGCTTGAGGTGCTCGATGTTTCTGGCGAGATCCTCTTTGGCTTTCTCAACTGCTTCCTGGGATCTTTTCACCGCGTGTAGATCAGAGAGAGACTGAAATCTGCGTGTGCCACCCCGCATCACCATGTTAGCGGCTGCCATTGTCAAGGTTGGAGAGAGAGGGGGCATGGAGACTGCTTCCTGAGATCCTTTCACTGCGTGCAGATCAGAGAGAGACTGAAATCTGCGTGCGCCACCACGCATCAGCATCTTTGTGGCTGCCATTGTCAAGGTTAGAGAGAGAGGGCAGGGAGCAGAGAGAAAAATGAGGGGGGAGAGAGAATGGGTGGAGAGGAAAAGAGGGAGGAGCGGTCTGGGCTGGTTTTCTTGAGAGAGAATATTGGACTGAATCCATGTGTTCCAAAGGGGATTGGAGGGAAGGAAAGAGCCGGTTTGTTATTTCTGTTATTTTCTTGCAACTAAAACATTTTTGGTAAAGAGTAGGTACCTGCACTTGAAACGAAAAGAATACTATACATGTATTAGTTATTCCGACATTTCACTCTTTCATTGTTACTGAGTGATTTTATTTCCTACAAAGCTGTTATTGTAGATTGTTTTGGTTGAAAGATGGTTATACATTTTGATTCACTTTATCTTCTGGTTCAAATATGATGCCCAGTGATGGAAAGTAGAAAACCTAAAGAGTGGCAAGCGTGGTTGATTCTTCATTATCCCGTACTAACCACAAGCACCATCCCTCTCTCTCTCTAATATATATACATACATACACACATACATACGTTGGTGCTGCATTGTGGAGTATGAAGGCTTTTGACGAACGCCATTGGCCATGAGCTGGAAATGACTTATTGCTATGTGATCTGAGGGCATTTTCATACAACTTACTATTTTCAATTACCTATTTGGGGATTTATCCCTCCTTGCATTCCAAATTTTGCAAGTTACTTTGACCCCGCATGTGCGTTTGGGCCCCAAATTTTGTTTCTTTCATAATTATGCTTTTTATCTGGGCTGATTGTCTACTGTTCTTTTTTCAAACTGTTGTCTCATAAAAACCTGTATTTTTCTCGACTGGGTGTTAGGCCTTTGATATTAAGTTGTTTCGATGACGGTTTATTTTCATTTGTACTAGAAGTTTATAATGGCATAGTTCAGAGTGGAGTGCTTGTTTAATTGGCATTTGGGGTTGGGTTATAACTGTTATGTGATTGTGGGGAATGATGGTACATGCTGTGGTCTCTGGGCAGTGGAAATTACTGGTCAAGTTATTTATGACCCCTGAAATAGTGATGTTGTGCTAATGAGTTATACTCTGTCTATAGTCTTTCTTTTTCTTGAATTATTTTGGGTCATTACCATGTTCTTTGATATGGCTTTTTTGCTGCTTCTGAAAGGTGGTTCAGTTTTTATTTGCCTAATGATGGCAAGCTCATTTATGGAGACAGCTGGATGTGCCTCTGGCGAGCGGAGAGAGGGGGACAGAGCGACCACAGAGGAGGGAGAGAGAGATTTAGGTAGGTGCTCTGTCAGGATGATTTTCTCCCATTTTACAGAGAGAGATGGGCAGGGAGAGAGATACAGAGCGGCTTGGGTGGGTTAGCGACTTTCATTTCCTTTCTTTGTGAGCTGCAGTGGGACTCGGTGAGAGCATGCCGTCGGGAGAGAGAGAGCGAGCGAGCAGAGAGAGAAGAGAGACAGGGAAGGAGAGAGAGAGCTTTGGTGAGAGGAAAGCATGCGGCTTGCAGGCAGACAGAGTCACAGGGGGTGTACGATTCGAGGGAGAGAAAGGGGTTGGTTTCGAAAGCTCTACCTAGGGTTGTTCCTGCAAGATTTCAACAGCGTTTTCCCTCTTCTCCACTATTTTCCTTCATTTCCTTTTCTCTGAACCAGAAAACTAGATTCCTCTTCTGGAGTCTCTCCCAGTGTGGAACCCCCGCCACCACCAGGCGCCACAGCTGCGTCAAAGGTTTGCGTGTTGAATTTCACATCAACGGCATCTCCCTATAACCTAGGAGCTTGGTTCGGATCGGGCGATTCCGGAGGCCCTGCCGTCGAGGTTAGTCTGAAGCGATTCCTATCTTATTGACTTATTGCATGTCAAAATCTGCTTCAAATTTGTGATTTAATATAATTGGGCTTTAGAAAAAAATTCATGATTCTGTCTAATCCAATTGAGAGAGCTTGGTTGCTTTAATTGCTAATGAAATTAGCTTCTAAAAGTTCATAATTTGCCTTTTTTATGCTCATTCTATATTTTCTTTGAGTTCAGATATATTTGTTTATTTATTTATTTTTTATTTTTTTTGTTGTGATATATTGCCGATGCCAAAATATCATATTTACAAGGACAAAGATAGCAAGGTTCTAAAGCAATTTTTTATCCTGGTTCTGCTGCTGGGTTCACTATCAGTAAAAGGCACATGAAATATGGTATTGATTTCAGAGCCTTTGATTTCTCAGAATGTCTTCATATATCGAATATCATCTGAATTTAGTTGTAGTTAATTTGTCAAAGTTTGTTGTTGTTCAGCTTTTTCAAATGGCAGTGTTAGTATTTGCCCAGTATTTTTTGTGAATTCCAAACTTTGCTTATAATTGTTGGTATGTAAAAGCTGCCAATTGGATTTGTTCCCCTGATGATAATGGCATACTAATATAATGGTTGTTCTTTTGCTTTGATGTACGAGTAAGAAGATTGTTTTGCCCCTTCTGTATCCTCCTTCTTTCCGTTCCACAAAGTTGCCAACAAAAAAAAGTACTTTGTGATCGTTTTCTTTCTTATGGTGATGTGTAGATAAAATCTGTCCTTTTTTCTTTGTATCAGCAACGTATTACCCCTTCATGAGCATGTTCAGTTCAGAAACTTTTGATTTTTCTTCTGTTTAATTTCTCATCTGATAGGTTCAATATTAATAGAGTCCAATTAACATCCATATTGGAATGACAATCGAGAAATGCGATGACATACTTCTAATTCCATCCTCATTAAGTGTCTTAGTAACAATCAAGAATTGAATGACATGTTTCTCATTGTTTGTTTCTGTTACAGATCTACAAAGGATGATGAAAGCTTTTCGTCACTGATCTTTGGAGAAACAGAAGCATGCATATAAAAGATGTAATTACCTAGAACCTTTGTTTCAGTTGAAGCATGTCATCAAAGAGAGTAGTCAATTAACAGTTGCCAATTGATATTAGGTCTTAAATATAATTTTAGCTTTCATTTTTTTTTTTTTATAAATTAAAATTTTTTACAGAGTTTTATTTTTATGTAAGATGGGTGAAATATATATATATATATATATATTTTTTTTTTTTTTTGTAATATTACTTTGATTTGCAGATATGTCATTGCAGCAATAGTACATATATTTTCAATTTAAACAACATCCTATATATTTTCATACTGCATGTCGTCTGGGTAACCTCAAACAGATGTGTTAAACATTTTTTTTCTAATTTGTTGTAGCGTGTCCATTTTTTGGTGCAGAGCTCCACGATTCGCTAGCGTGCATCTTGGTATCTTCATATGCATGCAATGTTCAGGGATCCACAGGAGTCTTGGGGTACATATATCAAAGGTATAATTTTCGGTTATGCAAAAACTTCAAATTCGTTTTTTTATTTGTATGGTACTCAATTCCATATTTTATGCGTTATGCTAATGAGTTTCGGTTCTATTTTTCCCTGCATTATTCTGATGATTTGGATGCTTTTGTAGGTGAGATCTGCCACTTTGGATACATGGCTCCCAGAGCAGGTTGCATATGTCCAATGTAAGTACCAATGCTGTTTTACCGGCTTCTTTCCATTCTGGTAGTAAGGTCATATCTCTGTCAAGCAAGGTTGCACTGAGAGTGAGAACACCGAGGGCACACTCTCTTACCCTCACTGACCCACATTAAAAAAGAGGCACATTATGTTTGCACCCTATTTTCGCATATCTCTGTAAATTTAGCTATTTTTTACCCAGTTTTTTTTTTCTGTTGAGCTTTCATCTTGCTGTAAATTTAGGTGTTTTTTATCTGTGTTGGTCCATCTGCTTATACTTTTCAAATGTTGGTTCATCTATTGTTACTTACGGAATGATAATTATCCCAGGAGGAGGAGCAGAGGGCATTACTGCAAATGCAGTGGAGAGTTTTGGTAATAAGCCACAAGAGGACCAAGAAGTGAATTCAAAGAAGGTTGGCTTTATAATAGATTACTCTCTCTCTCTCTCTCTCTCTCTCTCTCTCTCTCTCTCATATCCACAAACACAGATTAAATTACTATAAGTTTTTCAGTTGCAGTTGATTGGATGTATTGGTTAATCTTAATTTTAGTCCACATAAAGTACTATGGCTGTGGAAATTGAACTAAAAAGTACATTTCTTTTTTAAAATTAAATTTTTTTTCCTACCAGGAAATAGGTGGTTATAAATTATTTACTCCATTAATAAAGAATTTGTTAAATTAATATAAGCTATTTAAATGTTTAACTTCCATTTGAAAGCTTGGGGAGTTCTAGGTATGTTGTTTATTGAAGAAGCTCAGTCTCAAATCTCTCAAACGGTCTCTCAGTTGCCACTTTGTTTTCGTAGGTTGTGGAACTTGATTTTCTCCATCCGTATGAATTTGTGCCTTAGGTTATGTTTATCTGCTAAGTGTGTATTTAGGAAATGCTTATTTGATGAATGCACTCGTATAATTGATCAGTAAATTACTGGAATTGAATATAAGTGAAAATCAAACTTCTTTGATTCGTTCACCCATCTCTTGGTTATTTAAATTCTTTACAGATGCCTATATTGATTTGTGATTTTATTGGATTTACTCTGGTGAAATGTGTGTTATCTGCATTGGTGTATTGATTAGCATTTGTTTTTTTATAATTTGGGGTGTGAACCATGAGTTACTTTACAGTGGTCTGTCTCATTGAGTTGCAGTTTCTTCCTTATGCACACGAGGTAATTCCACGAGGTTATTCTCAGCAGCGAGTACTCAAGGAGGGCATGTTTGAGGACCTGAGCTTGGCCAACAAGCAGCTCCGGTTTGTTTTGAGATTTTTAATGGTGTGCTTGCTCTTGAATCGGCAAGAGATGGTCCGGCAGCTGCTCAATCAGCTCAGAGTCTTGGTTGATGAGTGCAAGAGGACCTTCCAGGTTTGTGATTTTCCATTGTTTTGTTATTAGGGTGCTTTGATTTGTTAGAAAACATAAGTTCAGTGTTCACGTTCTTGTTTTGTGCATTTTTAATCTTTTCTAACTGACCACTATGTTCTGATTCATGATCCTGTTAGTTAACTCTATGTACCCTTTTGCAGCCATGGGTAATGAAACGGGAAACAGTTATTGGGAAAAAGAACTGCCACCAAATTTTGACAGAAGTGGGATGGAGAAATTTATTCGTGCCAAGTACGTTATTTTGTAAAATTAATTATGAGCTTTATGTGGAACATGGAGAATGTTCAGTTATTATTTCCTTCTGCTCTTTTAACTTTCTTGGGAACTTTCAGATATGAGGGAAAACTGTGGGTTGCGAAGAATGCAAAGCAACCAGTTCCTCTCTTAATTCTGATTTGTGAAGGAGCCCGTGCTTTTCCTCAAACTGACGTTGTCCTACTTGATGAACAGCGGCACGATCGAAGTCCCTCACCCTCTGTTATTTTTGGACCATGAGGTGGCGGTGATCATCTCTCAGAAAGCTCACAATGTTTCGCAATCCACCGCCATGGATTACGTTGCGGGTAGATTTGTAATTTTTGTTATTGTTATTTGTTAATTAATCACTTTTGTATTTTATTTTTTGAATGTCAGTTAATTAATCAGTTAATAGTGTTGCTGTTAATGATTTAGTTTAATTAAGCAGTTAATAATGCTGCTGCTAATGATTTATTTTTAATATAATGATGCTGTTAATAAATCTTAAGTTTAAATCTGATTAGCGAAAATCGGATGGTGTAAGGTTATGCACTTGCTTTGGATATGACTGCCAGAGAAATTCAAGCTTCTGCTAAGGTAATTATCGATAATTGGATTGTTTTGATGCGATCAAACACGGTAGTGAAATGTTCAATTTTATGGCTACAAGTTTCTAATTAGAATGCTAATGCTGCAATTCATGATAATCATATGTTCTGATTTAAACAGTTACTGCAAATGTATTGTTGCTTTGTGATGAATGAGTTATCTTTTGCATGTAAGACTTTTCGTTTCTCAATACTAAGTCTAAAATAGAGATTTCAGAGCAAAACATTGATCCAGTATAAGCGAGTTGTGATTTTGTAGTTTATTTATGTTTCCAGATAAAATCTACAGAGATTAGAAAGAGAAAAAGGGCAAAGGAAAGCTATGGTGACTCTCGAAAGATGGTTCAAGTCTCTGTTGGAGGTACTTTGGATTTATGTTTATTATGTGTTTAGTACATTGTTTGGACTATAGATTTGGATCGAACTCAATGTTGTCCGTGCATATAAATATATCTGCGTAAATATATTTTTGTGTGAATATATGTGTGCATATAGATTTATACATTGTTAGGACTAATAATGTTTGTGCTGTCGGGATTTTCTGTTGGGATTGGGGGCTAATAAGGACTAGGGATGTTGGATAGCATCTTAATTTATATGGGAGTTGATTTTTTCTTCTCTGTGAATCAGGATTGACAATTTCATTTTGCACAGGCCATACTGATTAAAGATGCTATGATGTTGTCAAAAGATAAACCTGACATATAAAGTTGGATATTTCAAAGTTGCCTGTTTTCTGTTTAACCATTTTGTTTTTCCTACTTCTTCAGTTTCAATTCTTACTTTCGACTACTACTTTTAAGATGTTGTTTTGGCTAGACTTTTGGATGAGGCCACAGTCCTGCAAAGATATAATTTTCTCTTCTTTTACATAAGATATTGCTTTTTTTTGTCATTCATCACTTTGAAGAATGCATTTGATCTGCTTGAGCATAATATTCTGATCTCAAACCACTTTCACAAAGCTGATTTGTTATCTACACACGTGCTATTTTCATTTCAAATTGTGACTGCTATTTTGCTTTTCCCCATTCTCATATTCCTAACAAGTGACCTCTGAAATTTATTGCCTATATCTTTTCAAAGCGCTTCAGGTATAAATTCACCTCACACTTCCTTGACAGGGGAGAATCAGACCATTGAGTGGGCTATACGACTAACAGGTGCTCTGAACATTGCCAAAGCATTAGATCACTGCAGCAGCGAATGCCGCCCATTGTACCATGACTTAAATGCATATATGGTTGTCTTTGATAAGGTGTTGTCTCAAATTTCCTTTCCCAAACGATAATTAATAAAATAGAGGACCAATTAAGTCTTTGAAAAAACAAATTTCTTTGTCTACGTTGCTGAGTATTTGGAACTTGCAACTTTCATTGGTTATTATATTTGATTGAGTTAAACTTGGATTTCTGATTTTGACTTTTCCATTTGTTTCTCTGTTGCAGAGTTGGCTTCATTTCAGTCCAGTAACTCTCTAAATAGATCCAATAACTCACTAAATAGGTAAGTTGAGAAGAATTCAATGTTGCACGCCTTTTTTGGTATGCTGTTTAAATCTGTCTGTCATTTTGTTCATTCTTCATGTTTAACTTTGTTCTGCAGGCTTCCTATGACTAACTTAAGCATTTAAGTTATTCATTTGTTAAAGATGTTAGCTATTTTGGAACAGTTTGAAAGTTAATGCATGACTCGAGGATGACTTTTAGCTTATCCCACTTATCTTTCACGCTCTCACTTCATTCACGTGCTGAGTCATGGTTTAACTGTCTAAATTCAACTAAAAATGGCTAGGAGGCTAAAAAGTGATTAGATTTTGAGATGCATATTTTGGTTTCTCATTATTTCTTTGTTTTGTATTTTTCATTTATTAATGTTCTTTTGGCAGCTTATTTGATTGTATTTGTGGTTTCCCGGGGACGAACAAATCCTCTCCTTAAATGTCGATTCTCAGAAGAATCACATTTCTGATGACCTCTAGGAGAGAATGATTAGTTGGAGGTTTAAGCATTTGATAAGATACAAATTGAAACATTAATTTGTGTTTGTGTGTTTATCTCTATATATATTATTATACATATGTGTAATCATTTGCTGCTCTACTTAATCATCATATTTTTTATTTGGGTTTCTGAAGTTCTGGGATGAGTTCGCCGCGATCAAAATTTATGCCTTACTTCGATTCCAAACTATCCAAAGCTGCCTTCTTTATAGATCATCAAAGCAGTGCTGAAATTCTGAGAAGGTATATTTAGAAACAATTATTGAGTTTTACCAAAAATTTTGCTCATTTTTTTTTCTTCATTTTCTTATGAAATTTAGGTTTTTGAGTAATGGGTTAGGAATTAATTCTTAATCAATAATAGGTATTGTAGTTGAGTTGCAAATAGTGTTGAAAGTATTAGATGATCTTAGTTGCGTGAGATTATTGTGTTTCTAATCCACCAAATTCATTTCAAATACAGTGGTGATTCTTGGTGTACCTGAATAAGCCATACTCAATTGAATGTATATAAAAGCTAAGCTGCTTATCTTATTGACCTCATTCACTCATGTGTCCCTCTGTTCATTCATGACAGTTGGTTCCCGCCGCAACGCGCGGGCTTATTGTCTAGTGTTCTCTAATATAACTAATTTGCTGCCTCTGAAAGGTAGTTCAGTTTTTATTTGCCTAATGATGGAAAACTCATTTTTGGAGCGGTTCCGTGGATTGTTATTATGAGTCTTTTCTATCACTTATGCTGTACAAGTCGCCGTCGTCATTAACAACACCATCCTCTCTCTCTCTCTCTCTCTCTCTGTGGCTTGTATGGTTTAAGATGTGAACAGGTTCATTGTCATAATCCACGGCTAACTGGCAATGACCTGATATAGCTATGAGATCTGAAGGATCTTCAACAATTTTTTCCCTTTTGTTTTCTTAAGATTTGCTTGTTGAATTTTAAATTATTTTTGTTCCTTTAGTTATATTTATAGACATGTTCTTTTCTTTGGTTTGCAGTGTTGTACACTTTTATCTCTGGTTTAGCTGAAGAGTATTTTGGGCATTGCAGTATAGTGTTTATAACACAAGCTCCCTCTAGACCCAAAATCCTTAGAGCTTGTTTTTCTCAGAGAGAATCTGAATCTCTTTTGCAAAAATTTCACTTTTTTCTTTCTTTCTTGGATTCCTCTTTTATCCAAGAAAGCAGTTATTGTAGATTTTTTGTATGCTTATAGATTTGGTACTCACAAATCTGTGTAATGTTTATTGTGTTTAAGTTTACAAAGCGACATGCTAAATTACTCTTCTTTTTCTTTTTTGATTCTTGCTTGTATGATTGAAGATCTGTTGAGGTTTATAATCGAGCTTGTGACCGTGATGACTAGATACATATTTTCAAGGGGTTTCTGCAGAGACATTCTCATTAACATGCTATTTGAATTTATTGCTATAGTTGTATTGTATTGATTTATACATTCTCAATAGTTACATATTTTACCCATTTAGTTGTACAGTCCATTCCTCTCAAAGTTGCCCTTGCAATGCTAATTCAACAAATTTTATGAGGCCTCAATCAACTGAAAATAGTTATGGTGTCTGTAATATGGTTAAGTCTAAGAGTATATGTGGCTTTGTTTTCTTTTCGCTTGGTTGGTGCAACAAATGCGAAACTATGACGCAGTGGTTTTTGCATATATGCTGCAGTATAGGCTTACACATTTGCCCAATGATGCAGACTCATGTTCTTGGTATGCTTTTGATTTTGATTATGAGCATCTCCACTTCCTATATTTCTATCGTCAAGAGTAGCCATCTGCTTTTTATGGTGGTGGTGGTGGTGGTGGTGGTGGTGGTGGTGTTGTTGTTGTTGTTGTTGCTGCTGCTGCTGCTGTCATATAAGATGTGGAGAGGCTGTAAATGAAAATCAAAGCTCAACATCCTTAAATATAAATTCAGGATATGATAAGGACTGAGGGCAATCTTTTGTTTACTTTTACTACCCAAGTGGTGTTGCGTAAATGCCTGTTTTTAGCTTTTCATGATTAAGTTATGTTGGCAATTGGTGCAGCTCTTATCCGTATTGTTCGTCATATCTATGTCTTCATCATATGGAGTCATATGTATAAACACATGTTGTCTCTCTTTAATTTGCCTCTGACTTTATTATTGATTGGGGTGCAAGCTGGGATTGGAAATTTTGTTCCAATATTTTCCAACTTTTGTATGACTTGTGAGAATAATCAGTATTGTGCTGCTCACTTTACAATTTTTCCCTCAGTTTTATGTCATTGTTTGCTTCTTTTGTGTAATATAATAATTTCTCTACCCAGTCCCACTGTGTGTGGGTTTTGGTATTAATGTCTCTAAGTTGTTCATAGAAAGAATTTTATGTGTCTATATGAGTATGATTGGATTTCTAGAGCATGGGAGGATTTCTTACTACTGCAACTGTGTATTCTTTTCTTGTAATGCTTTTTTCTCTATGGGCTTTTTTCTTGTAATGATTTTCGTGATTCTTGTTACCTTTATACGAGTAAAGCTATTTTCTGGTGTATATGGAGGTTTTAGGTTTTGAAATTTGAACTGAATTCACAGAGCTGGAATTGGTGCCGTTATGAGGGAGGAATTCGTTAAGAACATGTTTGTTTTAAAGACTGATGTTCGGCTTTTTAATGATGCTTTTAGTCACTCTTTGTTAATAAGCCCAATGATGAAATCTCATTTTGTGAAGCAGTGCTTCACTTTAAGCCGCCATTTACTGTGCCACGCTGATCATCGCCATTTGCTGGCTCCTTCTTCTTCTTCTTCTTCTTCTATTGTTGTTGTTATTATTATTATTATTATTATTTCTGGTGATGATCCGATGGTGTTTGTAAATGGTTTTTGGCTTTCAGTGATTACTGTTTATGAAGTTTTAGTAGTGGTCTGAGGGCTCAAAACATCTTTTGGTTTTTTTTATTCAATTGAAGGCAAATGAATTCCCAGTATAATTTAAATGTGTGGTAATCTGTTTATTAATAATCTGTTGATGTAACTATTAATAATGTAGATTGAATACAGATAGGGACAGAGTTTACTCCAAGCAGCATTACTACAACTTATTTACTAATTCTTGCCTTACTCTTCCGCATGCATTACTAAATTTCAGGTTATTTCGGTTCGATTTCTTTTAATAGAACGTGTGATTAGGGGGTTTCACAGCTTTCTTTTCTATTCTGGTTGGCTGTATCCTATGAGAGATTGTCTCTTTCGTTGGGTTTTCGCATTGCAATATAAGTGTATTGTACTGTGATGGAATCTCATATATGGTCGGTTTTTCAATAAGCCCAATGATGGAATCTCTTTTTTTTGAAGCAGTGTTTCACTTTAAGCTGCCATTTATTGCGCCGGACTGATCATTGACATTTGACTGCTGCTGCTGCTGTTGCTCCTCCTCCTCCTCCTCTTTATTATAAATAATATTTCTGGTGATGATCTGATGGTGTCCGTAAATGTTGCCTGGCCTTTAGTGATCACTGTTTATGAAAATTTTGTTGTTGATGAGGTCTGAGGGCTCAAAATTTAATTCGTCTTTGTGTCTGGCGTCTCTTGATATGTTTTGGTGTTTTGCATTGCAATCCAAGCGTAATTTGATGCAATCCCCCATGCTGTTTGATAGTTTTATCATCTTTAGTTGTAAAATGTTGTAGTGAAATGAAATGAAATGATAGCGTGTGCATATCATGTCTCTTGGTTTGATTTTTCTTTTCCTTTTTGTGCAGAGAACAGCTACTTGTTTATGCCATTGATATTGGGAGAGGAGAGATTCAATTCAAACCCGACCTCAAATGCAGAGGTAAACGCTTATTAGTTTTTTTGAAAGTGTAATATTCATACGAGTGAAATGATAAAACTATTATATTATGTCATAATATTGTGTTTTCTACCTTAAAAGAAAGGGGAAGTGTGAACTAAATCAAGTGGGTAACCGTTATATCAACTGTTTCTAACTTCGTGGTTTTGAATTAAGGTGGTTATAAGATTTTTAATTTTTCTTCCTATTCTTGCCTTTTCGATTTCCAATAGTCGTCCGCATGTGCGTTAGTGACAGTTAGCTCTTCATGGTTGTGCATTCCGCAATTCCGCAATACCCGCAATACCCGTAACTAACAGTCACTTGCGCGCATGGACCACTACTTTAGGCTGTTCTTTTGTTTCATCTTTGAAGTGGAAGTAGGGCAAGGTCAAAGTCCCCGTACAACTTGGATGTAGGTACGAATGTGTCAAAATCAACGGTCAAGATACCTGGCATGGTTGACGGATAGTGGTGAATCGGCTATGGCTGCTATCTGGTTGGGGTTATAAGAGAGTGCTTGTGTACTTGGGGCATGGTTGGTTTTGGGCCAAGTTAATAGCATACTTAAAATAAGAAAAGGGCCTCCGTCGGGAAGGGAGCAGTCCTCATGAGAGTAACTTGTATGATACGGATATATTACTACGGCGGTGTCATATGCCAACTTGTGTTATTAGCATAGTACGTCAACGTGGTGGTGTCTCCGTGTCGTACTTGTCCTTTTCCTAAGGCTCATTCTCAAAGAAACAGTCACCTTTGACCAGTTCCAAATTATTATACGATGTTATTATTGACGTTGGGTTCTAAATTTATTTTGTTTCCTGATAAAATCAGCCTTCTACATTATTTAGTCCACAAGGATTTGCACAAAGATTGTTTCCATGAATCAATTTGTTGAAAAGAATTTATTGAGCGGTTATCGGTCTAGTAGTATTTTTCTTCTTCATGCTATGAAGAGACTTCAAGTTCAGTATGTCTCATTCACTTATTTTAAATTGTCAATGATATTTATTCTTGACTGCTTATGTAAAAATTACTTTGCTCCTAAACCGTTTTAATGAAATGCTTTAATAAGAAACCTGGCAAATTTCTATTGAAAATATGAGTGCTTGAAAATAGAAGCGTCGACAAAGCGTTTCCCCAAAAACACTTAAAGTACTTTTGTTGAGCGTAGTTAGAAGCGTTTTTTTGGTTGTTAAAAACGTTTTTTTTATTTTTGTCATTTCGGAAGCAATCATGCAACGAAGCCTTAAATTATTGAATCCAAATGAATGACACATGAATGACATCATCAAGAATATAAATAAGTAAATGGCATCATCAAAAATTTTAAAATAAAAAAACAATTTGAAAGAAGAACACTAGCGAGAGTGGTACAAACCTCCGAATGAGATCATATCTGTTTCTTGTATATCGTGCGGTTAATTTTCGTCAGGTACTTTTTATATTCAATTTTAAATGAAAAAAACGATAATGATTTCTGATCGCACGATATATGATGAACGAATGTGATTAGAGGATTTCGAAGATCCTCACAAAAAGGATCCAGCGAGAATCCTTTCTCCACACTTCCCACTCCATCCATCAAATCATTTAACAAATTGACCAATTCCAAAAGAGAATCAAAAGCTCATGTTCCTCTCGAAGCTCTCGACTCTTCTTCAACTTGAAAACTACATTTACTTGTGGTCCAAGAAACAACCCATATATAATATATGAATGAAAATGAAAGCTGCAATTTGTTTATCTTTGTTACCTTTTCCCCTTCTTTAACATGTGCTTAATTGTTTGAAGTGATCAAACTTAAATATAATATTTGATTGAGTGAATGATGGGTCTCTTTCTTTGTTTAGAAAGATACACAAACAGAAGCTAACTGCGTTTCACAATTTACATCTTTGATGTGATTTTTCTAAATATTGAAATTGTATTAATTTATTTCTACAGTTTAATAATAATATTTGATTTTTTATGAAATTAATGATATAATAAGCACGTTACTGATTGAATTCATATTTAAGTCACATTTGTAACACACTGATAAAGAAATCATCAATATAATGAAAGAATAGACGCTTATTCAGGTATAAAATATAAGTGAATATAATATCAAATAGGGAGTTTTAATGAAAAGGGCTTGAACCAACAAATATTTAACCAAAAACCATCCCAAAATGTTATTTAATCAAAAGGGTTCAAAGTTTAATAAAAAAAAACCATCCAAAACTATTGTTCACGGGCCAACAAATATTCTACCGAGTCCATGCACCACCATAAGGACCAAAACTATTGGCACTATCTTGGGAATGTCTCCGCCTCCTCATCTTCTTTTTCCCTTTCGTCTTTCCTTGAGCCACTTTCCTCATGCCTGCTCTCCTTTCGCCTTGAGCCATTTTCTTCATATTTGATCTTCTTCCCCACCTCCCCATTTTCTTTTCCCTTCTTACTTGACTTCTCTTTAAATAAAGCTTTATTCTTCTTTCCTGATGATTGCCCACTGTCACCTGCAGCAGAATCATGTCCCCGCGGCAGGGGATCATCTTCATCATCTAACTGCCAATTGCCCGGTAATTCCCCAATTTCAAAAACAACCAAATCAAAGTTCAAATCAAAGTTGAAAAATGAAGCATTCATCGAAACAAAGCCGCCAAACACAAGTTCAAAGAAGTTTAATGGCAGAAACTTGTGAAAAAGTGTCTGAAAAAAAAAAAAAAACCCAAAACATAAAATTATTTCCGGAGAACCAAAACATAACACTGTTTCTGGAAAAAAAAAAAATAGATACAGTGTTTGTTTTGTTTGGCACAAATAAACATTGTATCTGGAAAGAAAAGAATCAAAATCCAGAAACAGTGACTTAAATTCCAGAAACAATAACTTAAATTTCAGAAACATTGACCCAGATTCCAGAAATAGTCTATGTTTTAACCTTTGACTGTTTCTTTTCTTTCACGCATCAGTTGATTATATTTAAGAAACAAGGTGCTTAATTTGCTTTGAATCCAAATACAATGAATTTCACTATTTCTTTTCTAACTTATATTTAAGAAATAGTGTGTCTATTTCATTTGGATCCAGAAACAATGACTTATATTCCAGAAACAGTGTTACTTAAAATCCAGAGACAGTTTATTTTTACAGTTTAGAAACAATGACCCATCGTTATTATTGAATAGCATGCAGATCTCAAATTTATATTCTGGAGAAACAAACAATGAACTCCACTAATGAAGAAAAATTGAAAAACAGTATCTCGAATACACTGAATAATAACGACGATCACATTTAAATGAAATAATACAAAAATATAGCATGAGGATCTATATTTTTGTTTCAAAGAAAAAGAAAAAGGTCTGTAAAACAACGATGAACTCCATTAACAACGAAAATCTGGAACTCAACCTAAAAAAGTTAGGGATAAAATGGACAAATCATAATTTATTATAGTTGGGCCATTTTTAATTGGACTACTTTAATATGGGTCTTGTATTAATCATTAAACAAAACTTATAACATGATTTTTTATTAAAATTAAAACTTTCAAGCCATTTTCATTAGTTTTCCTTATCCAATACAATGTAAGAAAATTGAAACTTAAACGCCTCAAATCTAAAAAGTAAAAATTGTTATTAGCCTAAAAAGAAAAAAAAATTGTAAATATTGATTTCTTGATACATTAGGACGTAATTGGATCCACACCGGACTTTAGTGTCCAGAGCTTAAGGATCAAATCATATGGGCCGCTAATTGATGTGTAAAAGAAATCAGACTCATTGGTTTTGTATGGTGACCCAAAAAAATGAGTTAATAAGAACCGTTGAATTGAATTTGTACAGTCTAAATAAAGCTCGGGACACTAAAGTCTTGAATGGATCCAATTCGCATTAGGGCAGTGACATATCCCAGATTTGATGTAAAAAAGTGGGGTGTGAAAAGAGCCAGAGCATGCATATATGTATCTTTCCATAAAAGCATGCATATATGTATCTTTCCAAAAAAGCATGCATATATGTATATTATATTCTGGACTTGGGGGACAACTTGGGGTTTCGCAATTTAATGACACGGACCGGTAACTTGTGGCTGCGTATGATCATAGGTCCACCGCACCACGAACACACGTATAGAAGACTTTTGAGAGAAGAGATCTCCAATTCTTTACTCAAAATAAAAACAAAAATTAGTTATGTGGTTCACACTACTTTAAATTCAATAATATGAAATGTTTATTTTTAAAGTTGGATCTTATAGGTCATTTTTGTAAAATATTAGTTAAATTGAAAATTTTTGAGATATTGAATTGAGTTTAAAAAAATTGACGAACACATTATTATATAAAAAACAATGAAATTTCATAATGATTTCGAATTAAATCGAATTTTTGCAAGAATAATCTATGAATCAAGACTTACAAAATAGACGGTTCGGATCATTGAAGTTTGATGTGAAATATGCCCTATTATTAATACCCACTTTTACCCTGGAAATTCCTTTGAATAAAGCCCGGAAATTCCTTTGAATAAAGGGACTGCATACATATATTATGAGGAATTACATCAATAACCACAACAAGTGATTCGATGAAAATGCAGTAGAATTTCAAGTGAAGTTTGCTTTTTGATTTTGAGTTTGAGGCACAAAATTGGCAAAATAAGGATGATTATTTAGTTAAAAGTTTTGAGATGACATGTATCATTTGTCTGTGATAAAAATAGATGAAATACCTTTAATCTTTTTAGACCCCATTAAAAATCCTACCTATGAGGTGTGGGATACCTCAGCCTTCAGTAAAAAAAGGGAATTATATCCATGGGATTAGAGTACTATGGATGGACCCTTCTACGTATCAAAATGACTTGGATCAGTGGCCATTACCCCCAAATACAACGCACAACCACAAACTCAACCCTTTCTGTGTTTGGGGGTGATAGTGACCAATACTTGATGGAAGCCATGTTTTCATGACCTTCTATTAAGGTTGGAGATAAAGTCTACGTATCAAAATGACTTGGATCAGTGGCCATTACCCCCAAATACAACGCACAACCACAAACTCAACCCTTTCTGTGTTTGGGGGTGATAGTGACCAATACTTGATGGAAGCCATGTTTTCATGACCTTCTATTAAGGTTGGAGATAAAGTAAGTACTATTAATTTAACAAAGATTTAGTTGAGGCTTAACAGATCCGACATTTTCGATAGATTGCGTGCTTGTTTGGAATATTTAAAAAGATTGAAATCAATTTAGAATGACACTAAAAAATTGAGGGTTTATCCTCTGTATTATCATGAAAGCTGAAATTGTTATTGTCGATCAATGTATAGCAATCATATAAAATGTAAAATAATGTACAAACTACAGTACTTGGTTTGGGACTATTTTTTAATTTATTTATTTTATCAATTGTAAAACGGGATTTTAACTTGGGACTTCTTCTAATACTAGTTTTGTCACTTAATACTACAGTCTAATGATATTTATCTTCACTTGTAAGTAAATTCTTTAACTCGATGCTCACCAAAGGGGAATTTGAACCATGTTATTGTTAACCCATTACAAGGCTTAGCCCACTATTTCACTCTCTTAGTGTAGTAAATATTGTTTGCTAAAAATAAAAAATACTAGCTCTTAAGTCTTGTTTAAGTTATGTATCATAATAAAAGTGATTGAAATTTTTTATTTCAAATATCTAACCAATTTTTATTATAACACTTAATATACCGAATTATATTTTCAGTATATTGAAAAATCTCTCTAAAACTACTAAACTAGAACCAAAAACACCAATATAT